ACAGTAACAAGAAGTCTCACGATGGAGACGTTACTGGGCCCGCTTGAGCAAATCGATGAACAACGGGAGGACCATGACCGTGACCATGATGTGAGAGAGCATTCCCCCTCTCCCTCTGACTAACTTTACTTAGCGTGATCCATCAGCATAAGAGCAAATTGCATGATTTTATCCTTTCTTGCAATAGAGTACTATTCCACTGAATATATGTAACAGAATCTCTTTATTCAGTCATCTTTTCTTGGATCCTTGGGTTGTTTTCAGATTTTGGTTACTGTGGCTAGTGCTGTCGTGAACATAGGGGTGCCAATGTCTTTTCTCCATTGTGTTTTAGGGCCCTTGGGGTACATTCCAAGAAGTGGAACTGCTGGGTCAAATGGAATCTTAATTCCTATTTTTTTGAGGTGTGCCAAAGTTGTTTTCCAGAAAGGGTGGGCCAGTTGACATTCCTACAGGCAGTGAATGAGGGACCCTTTTCTCTCCCACTCCACCAGCACTGGTTCTTCTTGTTCTTTTTGATGTATGTCACTCCCTGTGGTGTGCAATGATCTCTTGTTGCTGTTTTGATTTGCATCTCCCTGATGAACAGTGAAGAAGAACAATTTTTTTCCATTTGCCTTTTGTCCATTGCATGTATTTTTTTAGTCTTAAAAGTTCTGTTAGTCTCTTCTCCCCATTTTCTGATGGGGTTGGATTTTATTTTTTGTAAAGTTCTACTAATATACATTAGTTATCACACCCTGGGGTCAAGGTCACTCCACTGAGAATGGGTGGCACTGACATAGAAATCTTCATGTTAGATTTAAGCCCTGGCTCTGCCACACATGAGCTGGGTGGTTGGGAGTGGGTTTATCACCTCTCCTCGCCTCTGTCCTCTCCCCTGTAGAAGAGGATGATGGTCGCACCTGCTTCTGGGGTCAGGGCGCGCACGAGCCCACACGGACACAGACCCATGACTCCCAGCTCACATCCAGTACTCCCTAAAAGCAGGCTCTGACTGAACCCAGCGTTCCCACAGCTGGAGGTACAAAGTGACAACTCTTAGTTCTGCATCTGAGAGATGGAGACCAGGGCCTCCAACGGGGACCCACATTCACCCACTGAGCCCTCGCCCAGTGAATGGCTTGTACTAATCTATCTTCATTGTTTCTTCACTATGGCACTGTAGCACTGTGTCCCCGTTGTTTATCGAGTTCCCTGAGCAGGCACCAGTAATGTCTTCATTGTGAGACTTGTTGTTACTGTGTTTGGCATATCGAATATGCCACGGGGAGCTTGCCAGGCTCTGCCGTGTAGGCGGGATACTCTTGGTAGCTTGCTGTGCTCTCTGAGAGGGACGGAGGAATTGAACCTGGAGGAATCGAACCTCCTGCAAGGCAAATGCCCTACCCACTGTGCTATCGCTACTGCCCATTGTTTCTTCAGTATTTCACTTCATTTGTTTGGCATGGGGGCCACACCTACTGCTCAGGGTTTGGTCCTGGACCTATGCTCACACTGCCGGTGGAGGTGGGGCGCTTCCCGCCGCCCTTGGACAGGGGCCCAGGGGACCTCTGCAGTACCTATTTCTCCGGCCCTATTTATTTTCAATTTCTATTTTTATTTCTTTAGGTTATTATCATTATTATTATTATTGCCACACATAGCAGTGCTCAGGGCTTATTCTTGGTGAGCTCAAGGAACCATATGGAATTCTGGGACTCAAATCCTGTTTGGCCACAAGGAAAGCAAATGCCCTACCCGCTGTAATCTTCGCTCCAGCCCACACCCCCACATTTATTTTTAAATAATGAATAAAATACCAGTGCCAAGTACAGCAGAGGGGTTCTTCCTGTAACCCCCAGCCAAGTGGCATGGGCCCAGGGGCAAGGTGCAGGGGTGGCAGTGTGTGTGTGTGTGTGTGTGTGTGTGTGTGTGTGTGTGTGTGTGTATGCGTGGAGGGCAGCGGAACCTTCAGGAAAGAGGAACAGACTCTGAAAACAGAGATGGAGTTTCAAGGGCTTGTGGCAAGCGTATCTGGTGTGGTGGATGGGCCATGCCAGTGGTGACTCAATTCTCCCAGGGTCAGTGGACCTTGGGGAGAGCGTTGGTGATGACTGAGCTTCAGGATGATGGCCTGCGGCAGAGCCAGTGTGGGCACAGCCTCTTCCCCCAGTTTATCCCCTTGCAAATGACGGCAGCTCAAAATAATCAGTGGCCCATGAGGCCTGTTTGCAGGTGGCAGAACCTGTGGCTCTGCCCAGGAGTAGCTCTGACCAATAGCTGGGTGAAGGGACTGAAGCAATAGCACAGCGGGTAGGGCGTTTGCCCTGCACACGGCTGACCCAGGTTCGATTCCCAGCATCCCATATGGTCCCCTGAGCACCGCCAGGAGTGATTCCTGAGTGCAGAGCCAGGAGTAATCCCTGAGCATCATTGGGTGTGACCCAAAAAGCAAAAAAAAAAAAAAAAGCTGGGTGAAGAAGGGGTGCAGTGTGGCAGAAGGAGCGAGCCGTGGGAGAGTCAGAGGGCTTGATAGGGAGGACGGGGAGCACAGGGGTCCGGAAGAGAAGGTGCCCAGGACAGAGTCCCAGGGTGACGAGGGGGAGGGAGTCAGGGGGGATGTTTGCTCCTCTCAGACCTGTGTCCAGGGATCACCCCTGGCGGGGGCCTAGGGGACCTCTGTGGTACCCATCACGGTAACAGCACTGGTTACTGTCCAAGGGCGGCGGGAAGCGCCCCACCTCCACCGGCAGTGTGGTGTGTTCATTGCTTGTCTAAAGTCATGCTCACTCTCAACTTCCTCTGTGGCCAGGGAGGGGGCCGTGGGGCCTTCCCAGGCCACAGGGGGCTGGGGTGGCGGAGAGGAAGCAATACACACACGCTGCTGGCAAGCTTGACTTAGAGTAGTCGTGTCCTGCCGGCCACTTGGCAGCTGTGAAGTCAGCTGCTGGCTTCAGAGCAAGCCAGAGCAGGCCCAGGTGGCCAGCCAAGTGCTATCAAGGAGCCGGGCCCACCCCCGCTCCCCCCCACCCCCCCACCGATGTCTGTGCTGGAGGGAGCAGGGACTGGGGTCCTGCTGCCCTGTGCTCAGCTCTGTCTGTCCCGTCAAGGCAGAGACTTGGGAGGAGGCCGGTTTGGGGGGCAGAAGCCCACCGTGACAAGAGCTAGGGCCTGGGTGATGCAGCCGGTCAGCAGACAGGAGGGGTCAGGGGAGGCTGCTGGAGTCGCCTCCATAGAAAACAAGGTACCAGTGTAGATCCCCCGCTGGTCCTGGCCAGAGACAACGAAGCTGCCCACATGCTGTTTGCAAACAGGGTTTAGACTGCCAAGGATGCTGAGGCAAACACATCTCCTCACAGGTGGACACAAATGACAAACTCCTGCCAGCTGCCCACTGGCGTCGCCTCACCCGGACGTGGACCTGAGAGGTAGTAGAGGTGAAGACTCTTGCCTTATATCACACTAAATGGGGTTTGAGTACAGGTACCCTATACACACACACACACACACGCACACACCCCAACCAGGGGTTGACTGCCAGGAGTGACTCCTGATGCAAAGCCCAGAGTAGACCCTAAGCAAGTATGGGCTGACTCCCTGCAAAAGAACCCAGTATTATCCCGGACCTGGTTCCAGGTGACTGTCAGAGTCGGTCCCAGAGCCCTGCATTAGGAGACAGATCCCTAATTACAATGCTGCATTCTCCACCTCTAAAACCCAAGTCTCCTTCCATCCTGTCTCTGCAGCTGGTGCATTGAGTGACTGCAGGTGCTCAGCTGCCTGCCTGCATTGTCTCACGCTTCCTCCTCCAGTCTTGATGGTGCCAAGCTCATGGATGCCCTCCGCAGGCCAGTGACCTCACAAGTGGGAGAGATTGGGCAAGAGAGAGTTCCATGGACTGGGTCGTGCTTTGCATGCAGGAGGCCCTGGGTTTGATCCCCAGTACCACAAGGTCACCCAGCACTGTCAGGGTGCTCCCCCAGTATGGAGCTGACTTGTGTGACTTGAATGTCACAGTTTGTGAACCCCCCCCCCAACAAAGTCGAGGAGTGGGTTCCCTTCTTGTTTGTGCAATGCAATGAAGTCCTTTCTGCTTCTCTCTCTATCCGATGTCCCCCTGGTGTTGTGGCCAGTTAGATTGTCCTGAGGATGTCAGGCAGGTAAGGGGGAGGTGCTAGCTAGGACTTGGGCTATGGTGAGAGAAGCAGATGGCCAGGCCAGAGTCAGGAGCTTGGCCTAGGAGAGCAAAGCCCCAACCTGCAGAAGTAGTAACCTGGGAACAATAGGGAGGGATGGTTTGAGAGTGACACTTGTGCCCTCGGGTCACATGCCAGGGGCTTGGCCCCGGATGCCTAAGGAGTGACCAAATGCCTCGTAAAAAGGGCAGTATAGAAAATAACAATTCTTCTGCTCCTTCCAGGTGCTCTCTAGGTAAGTTCTGGGCCAGCAGCTCTTAAACTCAATGTGCGGGGATTAAGGTGATGGTGCAGCGGGTAGGGCGTTTGTCTTGCACATGGCCAACCCAGCTTTGATCCCTGGCATCCCGTAAGGTCCCCAGAGTCTGCCAGGAGTGATCCCTGAGCATGGCTGGGTGTGGCCCCCAAACTGAAGAACCACTTCAATGTGCTTACAGTTTCAGAGTTTTGCTGAAGTCAGCTGTGGGCAGGACCTCCGATCCTGCGTTTCTTCTCCCAAGCGCCCACCAGCAGACTGTCACTCTGAGGCAAGGCTGTCACTCCACCAGCCTGAGCCCCAAGTGTGTCCAGTGGCTTCCCCTTAGGGTCCGGGGAAAACGGGCATGCTGCTAGTTTCATGCTGCTCTGTCTGTCTCTCGCCCCTGAGAGGCGCCACTGTGTCTCGCCTTCCACCGGCCCCTGTCTCAGAACCCCTCTAAACGTCCTCCTGGGCGGTGCCCCCCCTTCTTCAGGTCTGAGAGGGCAGAGCCCCCTGTGGTGAGCTGGGCTCCAGCAAGAGCGGCTGCACTGTGCGGTGGTGTCTAAAGATAGTCTCTGCCTCACAGGAAATCAGAGGCTATTGGCTAAACCTTGCGAATAAAGATGCTCTCGGGGGGAGGGAAAGGGAAACTCTCAGGTCAGTCTGCGTGGGACCGGGAGCCTCCAGGAGTCCAGGAGTCCCTTCCAGACTCTGACCCAGGTAGGAGCAGAGGACTCCGGGGGTGAGGTCTTGGGGTCAGGGGGTCAGGGGTCAGAGTGGTCAAGGATGCTGATGGCTTTGCATGCAACAGGAGATCTTTTGTCCTGAGGCTGCCACACTCCGAATTTTGCAAGGCTTGAGACAGCAAGTGATTCATTTCCGTTTGATAAGGTGTTTCAGCATGACGGTACATGAGCATTAGCGATCATATTTGGGGGACTTGAGCTGAAACAGAAGCATCATTAAAATTTCCATGAAATGATACCACCAGGGAGATGACACTGGACCATGGGTTCTGCATGCTGGATCCCTGGCTTTGATCCCTGTCCATAGAGCACCTGATGTGTTCTCCCAACATCCAAAAAATTTTTTTATCTAGATGATAAATTGTTGCTCGTTTTGAGAAGTGAGGAATACGTTGAAGTTTATTTGTTATTTATTTATTATTTTTATTTATTTGGGTTCTTTTTCCCCCCACTCCTGCTAGGGGACTATGTTGGATTCTGGGGATCGAACCTAGGTTGGCTGCTAGCAGCAAACTCCCTTCCCACTATCCTACCTCTCCAGCCCCCAGGAGTAAATTTTGTTTTGTTTTTCTTCTGCTTCTCTGAGGATGTCACTTCTCCATTTTTAAAAAAAAAAAATATGTTTTTAATTGAATCACAGTGAGATACACAATTACAAAATTGTTCATGATTTTTTTTTTAAGAATCCTAGAGATTCTTACTTAGAGGTTCACACCTTATCTGTTTACGGGTGAAATCAAATCCTCTAGAACATGAGATTGGGGGGGGGTTCTTTTGTTGTTGTTGTTGTTGTTGTTTGTTTGTTTGTTTGGGGGCCACACCCAGCAATGTTCAGGGGTTATTCCTGACTCTGCACTGGGGAATTACTCCTGCTGGTGCTTGGGGACCAAATGGGATGCCAGGGATTGAACCCCGGTCAGTTGTGTGCAAGGAAAGTGCCTACCCACTACACTATGACGCCCGCCCCCAGTGGAATTTATTTTGAAACCCTCCAGTAGATACTGACATGAAGAGTCAATGAAATGATAACCAGAGAGGTTCTTCATGGAAATTGGGTTTGGGGTACACACAAGTTTTTTTCTTCTTTCACATGTGTTAACTGTATAGCATAAAGGTGGTTTTGTTGTTTGTCTGTAGTACTCAAGGCTTATTATTTCTGGCTCTACCCTCAGGGATCACTCCTGGCAGTGCTCGGAGAGCCAGGTGGGGCTCTGGGGATCAAATTCAGATGGTCAAGGCAAGCTCCCTATCTGCTGTACTATCTCTCCAGGCCCCAGCATAAAAACTTTATAGCAGCATCTGCAGCTCCCAAAATCTCAAATCTGAGGAGTGAATTCCAAATAAGATTTTGAGCCACAGTGGACACTGTCCGTGTCTCTCTCCCAGTCCCTAGCAAGGGCATGTGGAGGGCTGGAGGGAGCTAAGCTGCTCCTGTGAGTGTAGATGGACCCAGGGGAAGACCAGGGCAAAGGTTGAATGGGGAAGAAGCCGGTGTGGTTGATTCTAAGAAGCCGGATTGAGGATGGTTTTGACTTTTGCCCCTCTCCCCCATCCCTTCTGGGTGGGGGGTGGGGATTAGAGCCACACCGAGTGGTGCTGGAGGTTATTGCCTGTTCCGTGCTTGGATTCGCTTCTGGTCATGTCAGGGGACCCATAGGGTCAACCACAGGCAAGGTAAGAGCCTTAACCCCTGTACTATCTTCCTGCCCACTTTATGCACTTTTGGGATTTTTGTTTTGTCAGCTACATCTTTTATAATAAGCATCGATTGCACCTAGAATGAAGCTGCTTGTATCAATAAGCAGCACAAGTGTGTGCAGTATCGTCACTGGGGGTGCACCCAGGCTCCAGGAGTCTGTGTCACTGTGAAACACTGTCAGTGGAGAGAAATGGAGAATGGGCACCTGTGGGCAGGAGGCAGGGGCTAGGGTGGGGGTGGGGGTGTTGAGAAGGCTCGGCCACAGGGCAGGAGGGTGCATCTGTACATCCTGAACTCCACAAGCACCATAGCCGGTGCCCTGAGCTCTCCCTGCCCTGCCAGGGAAAGGCTGGGCAGTGGAAGTCTTTCTATCCCTGTCTCCCTCCAGGTTCTTTTCACTTCTGTCAAAAGTTGAGATAAGAAAACATGAGGTTTGGGGCTGGAGTGATAGCACAGCGGGTAGGGCGTTTGCCTTGCACGCGGCCGACCCGGGTTTGATTCTAAGTATCCCATATGGTCCCCCAAGCACCGCCAGGAGTAATTCCTGAGTGAAGAGCCAGGAGTAACCCCTGTGCATCACCGGGTGTGACCCAAAAAGAAAAAAAAATGAGGTTTATGGCTAACAGGCACATGAAAAAGTGCTCTCCATCACTAATTATCAGGGAGATGCAAATCAAAACAACAATGAGATGTCATCTCAGGCCAAAGAGACTGGTACTCATCCAAAAGAACAGCCAGTGCTGCGGGGAGAAAGGGACTCTCATTCACTGCTGTTGGGAATGCCGACTTGTCCAGCCTTTCTGGAAAACAATATGAACATTCCTCAAAAAATTAGAAATTGATCTTCCTTGCAACCCAGCAATATAATTTGTGGGAATATACCCTAGTGACCCCAAAACACTAGGCAAAAAAGTCATCTTCATGCCCGTGTTCATTGCAGCACTATTCACAGTAGCCAGAATCTGGAAACAACTCAAGTGCCCAAGAACAGATGCGTGAATAGAGAAGCTGTGGTGTATCTACACAATGAAACACTCTGCAGCTGTTAGGAAAAATGAAGTTATGACATTTGCTTATACATGGATGGGCATGAAAAGAAGTATCGTGCTGAGTGAAATGAATCAGAGAGAGAGGGGCAAACACAGAACGATAGCACTCATTTTCAGGATATTAAAAAAAAGTATGTAAATAACAATCAAGGACTATGTATGTAAATAATAATGTATATAATGGAGACGCACGGCCGCAATTGAGGCCGTGCAACATCTTATTATCTAGTTCTTACTCTGGAGAACCTGGCAGGCTACCGAATGTAACCTGCCCACACGGCAGAGTCTGGCAAACTCCCCGTGGCGTATTTAATGTGCCAAAAACCAGTAACAATGATGGGTCTCATTCTCCTGACCCTGAAAGAGCCTCAAATGTGGCACTTTCTAAAATCTCAGGGCTAGGACGAAGGAGACTGGTGCCTGCTCGAGGAAATCGATGAAGTGATACAGTAATGAAAAAAGTATGTAAATAATAATCAAGGGCCAGGAGGACTGGTCCATGGAAGGAAGCTTATTACCACAAAGGGGGAGAAGGAGGGCAGTTGGCACAGAAAAGGGGCCACTAGACAAGGATAGTTGGAAATGATCACTCTGGACAAAATTGAGTGCTGAAAGAAGGTAAAGTGATATGAATGGTAACCTTTCATTAACAGTATTGCAAACAACAATGCATAAAAAGATAATAAGAGAGAGAGAGGGAGGGAAGGAGGGAGGGAGGGAGGGAGAGAGAGAGGGAGAGAGAAAGAGAAAAGGAAAGAAGGAGGAGGGAGAGAGAGCAGGAGAGGGAGAGAGAGAAGGAGAGAGAAAGAGAGGAGAGAGGGAGGAGGGAGAGGGAGAGAGAGGGAGGAGGGAGAGGGAGAGAGAGGGAGGAAGGAGAGGGAGAGAGAGAAGAAAAGAGGGATGGAGGGAGAGAGGGAGAGAGAAGGAGAGAGGGAGGGAGAGAAAGGGAGAGAGAGGAGAGAGGGAGAGAGAAGGAGAGGAGAGAGGGAGGAGGGAGAGAGATGGAGAGAAAAAAGGAAAGAGGGAGGGAGAGAGAGAAGGAAAGAGAGGGAGAGAGAGAAGGAGAGGGAGGGAGAGAGATGGAGAGAAAGAAGGAAAGAGGGAGGGAGAGAGAGAAGGAGGGGGAGGGAGAGAGAGAGTAGGAGAGGGAGGGAGAGAGAGAGAAGGAGAGGGAAGGGGGGAAGAGAGAAGTGTTGCCATAAGGAGGTCTGCAGGGACAGAGGCAGGTCAGGAGGGAAACTGGAGACATTGGTGGCAGGAAGTGTGCACGGGTGTGACTGAAACTCATGGACAACTTTATAACTATGTATCTCATGATGATTCCATTTTTTAAAAAGAATTAAAAGACATTTAAAAAACCCACAAGGAAGGAGGCTGGAGAGATAGTACAGTGGGTAGTGTGCCTGCCTTGCCACCCGGCTAACCCAGTTCAACCCCTGGCACTCCCGAGAGTCCCCGCCAGCCCCACCAGGAGTGATTCCTACGGACAGAGCCAGAAGTCAACCCTGAGCACCTCTGAGTGTGGCGCCAAAACAACAAAACAGAACAGAACCTTGAGGTAGAAAAGTCTTGTGCCAAAAGGGAAGACAATTAGGCATATTAGAAGCTGGCAAGTAGGGAGGGACTGCAGCTCCAACTGCTGCGTGCCTCGAAGGCAGCTGAGACCCTGAGTTCCACCCCTGATGCTGCAAGATTAAATAAACAAGTAAAGCAGTACATCAAGTTCCACTTGGGAAGCCAGTCCTTGCTGCATCTGACAGGGGAGAAATCATCCACGCCAAGGCAGGTGGAAAGGGGTTTGGGCTTTATAAGTCAGGGCTGCTGGTGTCCTCGTTCCTGAACCTTGGAGACGTGTGTGTGTGTGTGTGTGTGCGTGTGTGTGTGTTGTGACTCAGGACCAGAACCCCTGGAAAAAGAAGAAATGTGAACTCAGCAAAGTCCTCTGGTGACTGATTTTCCAGCCTTCATCTCTTGGTTCAGCTTATTTTTCACAGAGATGTGAGGGGCAGGAAACAGTCTCAGTTCTGATTTGGTTTGACCCCTGATAGCCCTCAGACTAAGGGTTTCCCCATTCCCTAGGAAACAAGAGTTCTGAGGTGTCAGCCACACGCCAGCCGCACCCCTTCCCTGCTCTACGGGCCGCCACTGTTTATTCATCTCACAGGGGCTCGGTCCATGCCTGTCCTGACTCTGCCCCTGCCCCTGCTAAGCCCCCGGTCCTGCTAC